TGGCTCTTTGCGGCGCTTTTCCTCACGATGCTCACCATTTACACGGTCACTAGGGACCACCACCACAAACAGAAGCAGCAGCTCTACTACCCGTCAGCTGAGCAGTCATCGCCCATGTTTGAAATGGACAGTTTACTGCTGGTCCACAGCTCATCATCAGAGTCGGCCGCCTTCCTCTCGCGGACACTGCTGCAAGCAGCGGGGATTAACGGCACAGTTGCCGATATTTCAGCAATCGCAGCTGCGAACCACAACAACAACAGCAGCAACAAAGAGGCCAAAAGTAAGGAGGAGACATCGAATAACAACTTTCCGGATGACCTCTTCACGCCGGAGCAACGCCGCCACGGGGCGATCATCTTCCACATCATCGGCCTCATCTACATGTTTGTCGCGTTGGCCATCGTCTGTGATGAGTTCTTCATTCCTGCCCTTGACGTGATCACCGAGAAGCTGGCCATCAGCGAGGACGTCGCTGGGGCGACCTTTATGGTGAGTGCCACCTCTGATTCTTTTTCTTTAATTACCTCAAAAGCTCAGGACAAATCCGCTACGTCGTAGCTGCCCAGTAATCGTAGCTACGCCATTCAGCCCAGACATTCAATCATTTATGATACAAAAAGAAAGCAAGAAAAACAAAAACAAAAACAAACGTAATCGCTCTAATTGATTAGCGGCAATTGAGGGAAAGAAAGAAAGTGGTAGTTGTTTTTGTCTGAGAAAATGCGCGCCATTTGTTTCCAATTCTGAAGTGTGCCCGAATGTGTATCACAGGCAAGAGGGCACATTTCAGACAGCAAAGAGGCCTGGTCGCAGCACTCATTAGCGGCACTTTTCTCGCCGCGGCTGCAATCGCTAATTGCCCCTTCTAGACGTCGGGTGTCCTCCTCTTCTTCCTCATTCTCCTCTCCTTCATTCCGCTCTCGTTTTCGTTGTTGTTAAGTGCAAGGCTTTATTTTCCTAGAAGCACACTTACACACACGTCGCCGAGTTGAACTATCGCACACAGACCTACACACAGACACATTACCGCTGATTCTGCTGCCGTTGCTGTGAATGTTCCAATTAGTGTCGGTGCTGATGGCATTGAAATTGAATTAGTTCACGTGCTATATACTACCAGCACTGCACCAGCACTGCCATTCAACCTAGCTGAAGTAGGTGAAATTGTGCACTTTCAATGTCTCGTCGTTTCAGTNGAATTAGTTCACGTGCTATATACTACCAGCACTGCACCAGCACTGCCATTCAACCTAGCTGAAGTAGGTGAAATTGTGCACTTTCAATGTCTCGTCGTTTCAGTGTCCAATGTCCGGTGCACGACTGACTGACTGACTAGCTGTTTCCTCTCCACTGTCTACTCTCTGTTTGCAGATTGCCACTCAAAGCACACACACAGAAAGAAAACATAAAAACACCGACTCATTTGCAGCAGCAGCAGATGATGATCTCATCATCATCATCAGCAGCAGCAACGGCAACAGCCTGATCTTCTTTCTCCTTTTCTCCTTCAACGGGCGCAAACAAACTCTGATGATGTAGCTGTACTGCTGCCTGGACAGCGGAAAAATCAACTAGAGGCTCAGAAATTCCAGCGAGAACGAGGCTGATTAGCAGCAGCAGCAACTTTGGAGACGGCACTTTTATGATGACCAGACCACCATCATCCGGCTGTGTCAGTGTCAGTGAAATGTGCGCTAGGAAATGTGGCGGCCATCAGTTCTGCTTCAGAAGATCACACTCACACACTCACACAGTTTTGCTGGAAGAATAATGAGGCTAGAGGAGGATGAGGAGAAGGATGAGGAGGATGATATGATATCATATCAGGCCAAAGATAGATAGGCCAAGTGTGTTCAGTCTAGTGTGTGAGCTGATGATGCTGCTGCCAAGGCTCTGCCAGGGCTCAAGACTTGGCTTTCAGGGCTTTCGATCGTGGCAGAGGCAGCAAAAGAGGAAAACTAAAGATGCGCCGTGGCTGCCCTGCATTGCATTTCCACTTCATTGCACCCACATCTCGGGCTTCTTTTTTCTTGTTATTTTTTTTGAAAGGGCTAGAAGAAGATGATGCATCGACGCCAGCTTGTAAAGGCAAAACGTTAAGTAGAGTAAAAGAATAAAATAGAGAATAGAGAAGAACACTAACACTTTGTTTTATCACCGCTTTTCCATTTTATCTTTCCTCTTTCTTTTCTTCTTCTTACTTCCTTCTTTTTCTTTTTCCTAACCTTTTCGTATTTTTTTCTTCTTTAACAGGCTGCCGGTGGTTCTGCTCCAGGTACGTTATATCTGCTGTGTACACAGCTCCTCTCTTTCTCTTTTACCCAATTCAATTCATTCAACTCAATTTGCTTTTCCTGCTGTTGCCTCCGCCGCTGCTGCTGCAGCCGCTGATGATGATGATTATTATTGCGAGCACCCGTGTTTTCCCTCTTGTTCTCTATTCTTCTTCTTTTTCTTTCCCGTGTTCTCTGCTTTGTTTTGTTCTGTGGGCAACAACGTCAGAACAGCGAGGATGGCGACGAGGACGAGGATGGCGGCAGCCTTTAATCCAATTAAAAATGGCTGCCCATTATTTACGAGCTTAGCGGGTGGCGATGGTGGTGGCCAAAACGGGTGCGCTTCTCGTACAGTCAGGCCCCATTTGTTTTAGTGTATCAGCTGTGGTACAAATGTATGGTAGTAGGCCACCACCGTCGTATGTAGGCCGAAGCAGTCAAAGCACAGGCAAACTCAGACTGACTGTGGACAGAGAGTAGACAAATTCAGTGATTTGATTTGTCTGTTTCACCCGCTCTTTTCTCCCCCATTGCATTTCATTTTGCTCGTTCACTCATTCATTCATTCCAGGCATTGCACCGAACTGTGGCAATGCTTTACTTTTGTTTTGCTGGTGATGAAGAAGGGGAGGCAGACTTGTCAGCAACAGCAGCGGTGGCGACGGCGGAGACATTGCTTGCCAGTGACAGCAGCTCAGAAATGGACATTGGAGTTTGCATTCCCTCTTTCCCCCTTTCCCTTTTTATTTCTCCTGAGGACGTGTCCTCTTGAGGTAGCTCACGAAGAGCAGGAGAAAGACCAGAATACCCACACACTTGCACACACACGTCTGTTGCTAAATGCAAATTCCTCCTCGCACTGTACCAGTCAGTCAAAGGGTTCTGCAAAAATGTAGCTGTTGCTGTAGCTGTGTTTGCTGTCTGCTACCTCTAATTCAGAGTGATATTGAAAGCAGAGCTAGTAGCGAGTGCAATGTAGGAGGAAAAGGAATGGCAAGGCAAATTACGGCTGGCAGATTCTCTGCTCACCCATTCTCTTTCTGCTTTTTCTCTCTTTGCTGATTAGAAGTGGCCTGTTGTTCATTGACAGCAGCAGACAGCGGACACAACAGCGAAAGCTGTCATTAGCGTTGCCCGGTGCGACGGTGTGTGCGACATTCACTCAGGGTTGAACATGAAGCTCACTGAAGGCCGACGTCGTTGTCTTCACTGCAGAAAAAAAGACATGGAGTATGGGAGAAGACCGTACGTGGTCAGTGGCTGACAGCAGTGGTGGTGATGATCACTGGAGCAAAAAGAGAGGGGGAGAAATGGGAAGAAACGGGGAGTAGTGAACAAGTGCAAATGGTCGCTTCAAATTAGCTGCAATTAAGGACAGCGTTCTCTTGAGGTAGAACAACGAAGTAGAGAACAAAACAACAGCTGACAGTGACACTGACATCAAAAGGGGAGGGAGGGAAAGAGAGAAAAGAAGTCGCTGTTGACGAGTTGACTACTGCTACTACCACTCAACTTCAGCCTTAATCAACTTTGCTTTGCTTGCATCATTAACAACAACGACAATTACATTTCAATTTTTCCTCTTCTTTTTCCACCACCAGAGCTCTTCACCTCGGTGATCGGCGTCTTCATTAGCCACGACAATGTGGGCATCGGCACCATCGTCGGCTCTGCCGTCTTCAACATTCTCTTCGTCCTCTCGATGTGCGCTATCTTCTCCAAGAGCGTTCTCGAGCTCACCTGGTGGCCGCTCTTTCGTGACGTCTCCTTCTACTCGCTCATTCTCATCACGCTGGTGCTCTGCTTCATGGACTCCTGGATCACCTGGTACGTGGGCTCAGGCTGAGGCTGAAAGGGATGATGGAGAGAGATTGAAGAATTCCCTGGTTCTCTCTGGAGACCACCACCACCATCATCACCCATCAACCTAATTCCTTCACTCACTCACTCACTTTCATCTCCGCCCTTTCTTTCTTTCACACAGGTACGAGGCGCTCATTCTGCTCATCTGGTACGGCGCCTACGTGACGTTCATGAAGTTCAACGAGGTGGCGGAGAAGTTTGTCAAGCGGCTTTTTGGCGGCGCCAGAGTGGACAAGGTCGAGGGGGAGACTGGTGCTGGTGGTGATGGTGAAGCAGCTGGTCCTGGTGGCATCACCAAGGCTGACAGTGTCCAAGGTCCGCCGCCCAACTATCAGGTAAGTTGTAGGCGAAGAAGGTTTATGTGAAAACTTAATGTGTGTGCTGCACCACCCTTTCTTCTTTTCACAAACCTGCACTTGGCACTTTTCATCAAAATCTCCCCTGTTGTGCACTTCTTTATCCTCATCTTTCTATGTGTTTTCTTCCCTTTGTCTCTCTCTTCTTTTTCACTCTTTTCAATCCTTCTACTATCGTATCCAATCAAACCACCACCCACCCGCACACTCTCCACACACGCTGACCTGCTTCAGTTTACCCGAAAGATGTCGACGCCCATCCTCCACGGTGGCTCCAAGTTCCGCCAAGGCGTTCTCCAGCTGATGATCCACTCGATTGATCCGCTCTATGAGGAGCCCCTTAGTCTGGCGATGAAGAACGGCCAGGCGCCCGGTGAGGTCAGTAAGGAGCACATTCACCCGCCCGGGGCGGCCTACTGTCCAATCTGCGGCGAGGAGAAGCACAGCATGAAGTTGCAGATGAATGCCAATGGAGTCTTCCACACCGCCAAGACGCTGATGACCACTAATGGAAATGGCAACAATGGAAACGTAGTTGGGGGAGGAGGGGGAGTTGATGGACAGGAGGCGGTCATGGCCACGCACGGTAACGGAAACGTCTCACGGGAGGTGAGCATGGTAAGTTTGATGTGTTTATGGTTTGAAACTCTGTTCAACAGCCTTATTTTTTGCAGGAGGAGCCCACCCCAGAGCCGTTGGACGTCTCTTGGCCAACCACCAATCGAAAACGGCTCACCTACCTCCTCCTAGCGCCCATCATCTTTCCCCTCTGGCTGACGGTGCCCGATGTCCGCCGACCGGTGAGTGATGATCATTTTTGTTTATGTTTCTACAACGCTTGTTTCCCTGTTTGCAGGAGAAGAAAAAATGGTTCGCCTTTTCCTTTCTCGGTTCCATTCTCTGGATTGCCATCTACTCTTATCTGATGGTCTGGTGGGCGACACTGGTGGGCGACACCTTTGGCATGCCCGCGGAGGTCATGGGTCTCACCTTTCTGGCTGGTAAGAAAGATAAAGGAAGAGAAAGTGTTTCAAAGTTTTGGGCTAATTTTTTATTTCCATCTATCTTTTTTAGCCGGCACCTCCATTCCTGATCTGATCACCTCAGTTCTGGTGGCTCGCAAGGGCCTCGGCGACATGGCCGTCTCTAGCTCTATTGGCAGCAACATCTTTGACGTGGCCGTTGGGTAAATGATCATTCAAATGAGCTTTTTAAGTTTTTTAACTTTTATCGCTTTTCACCCTGATCACCCCACACAGACTTCCTCTGCCCTGGTTCATGTACACTTGCGTCTTTGGCGACGTGAGCGTCATCTCCGAAGGCATGATCTGCTCGATCATCCTCCTCTTTCTCATGCTGCTCTTCGTCATCCTCACCATTGCCGCCTTCAACTGGCGCCTGAACATCGGCATGGCCATGGTCATGTTCATCCTCTACTTCTTCTTCATCGCCATCTCCCTCCTTCTTGAGAAGAAGATCATCAACTGTACGGCTCTGACTGGCCTCTAAGGGGAGAAAGAGGATTCTTTGGCTCTCATCTTTGTTGTCATCTCTCACCCACATCCAATTGATGTCTCTTGCAACGCACCACACCCTTCACACAAAATGCCTGGTGTCCTACTCCATTTGCCTGATGACGTCAAAGTCAAAATATTTTTCTGCTTTTAAAATTTTGCTTTTAAAAAAGCTGTGCGTGAACGGGCTTAACTGGAGTTGTTTGATTTGGAAAGGAAAGCTCCAAAGCCACTGTTTGAAACTTGGTTGCCAACACTTGGAAATAATCTCTACTGGCCATATTATTATTTCACGTACACGTACACAGTGACAATCACTGGATCACCACTTCTTCGAATCTCCAAAAGTTTTGTGGCACCAACTACCACCAGCTCAGTTTTCTCCACCGTTGCACTTACGAAAATTTGTGTATGTGGAAAATTGGGAAAAGTGAGCAGTGAAGTTCTTCTGTTGCCTTATCAACCGGAAATGTTTTTTTTTCAAAGACAACACTATTGATTTTTTTGTTGTTGTTTTTATTCGGTTACACACACACACACAATGTCTTTCGCCAATTGAAAAACTACCTTCTTACTTACCTGCTGCTTTTTTCGACGCCTAAGTTGTACTTTTACCTTTTCAGATCTGATGATGAACATGTTGTTGAGGGTCATTTTTTTGCTGCTTTTAGATTGATTGCATTATTTTTTCTCATCTCTGTCTCTCGCTCTCTTTTCATAGATTTATTTGTCAATTTTATTCCGCTTTTTCTTTTCTTTTATTCTCTCTACAACTACTTTAAGAGTAGAACTCTGTTTTTTTGCTGTCTGTGAATATCACACACCAAACATGATACCGACAAATACAAACACTCACAACTCACAAACACACACACAATCGAAATGTCTATTTTAATAATAGATTTTTTACTAAATGATAATAAAAATTCTGATAGATGATAAGCACAAATACACATATTCTTACAATTTATAATTTCTAGTGCATTCCATGAGTCGCGCAAGTCGCTAAAGAATGCACTTTACTGAAATGAGCAGCACATTCACTGTCATTCGTTAAAGCACATATTTTCTGAATTTTATTTTCATTTTTTTTGTTGGCGGATGTCGTTGTGTCTGTGTGTTTACATGAGAATGTGTTTGTGTCTGCGTGTGTGTGTGTCGTAAAGCAATGATGATCATGATGATGATGGTGATAGTCTGAAAGAAATATATATAGAATATTGTAAAATAATAATAACAACAATAATGTGAATGGTACACCAATGAGCAATTGACAATTGTTGAAAGCTGAAAGAGGATGAGGGAAGGGAAGGAGAGGAAGAGGAAGATGGAGATAAAACTATGTGTTACCAAAAAAAAGAAATCCAGCAATCTGTGTGAATTGTGTGTGAGTGTAATTTTGTGGCATGTGTTAACAGGGAATAAGGAAGTGGAGTCCAATATATCTTGCAATCGACCGAAAAATGATGTGTGAGTGTATGTAGCTCGCAGAATGTGTGACCATATCTACGATTCTGTCAGTCTTTCTGTGTATGTGTCAGTGGTCGAACACGTCTGTCAATGTGTGTGAGTGTGTGTGTCAGTGATGGAGAAAGAATGTACAATGAATCAAGAAGAATAAGAAGAAGAATGAGATTGAGAAGAACAGCCGCGAGAATCGTTCGCTTCATTTGGTGAGATGGCGAAGCAGACAGACACTCACCAAACGAGCGAACAAAACCGCAGGACACAGAGAGACAAAGAAAAAGAAAGGGAAAGAGAATAGAGCATATATCTGTACAACAAATAGTGAACAACAACAACGGGAAAATCGGTGGGGAAGAAGACATTTACAGATGAAAACACATTTACAGGCGGAAAGAGAGGGCGAAGAAAACGGGGAAAAAGTTGGCCATTTGGCATCGAGGAATTTTGTGTTGTGTTTAGCAGTTGTTGCCGAGCTTTTCCCCAATTCCTTTTTTTGCTTTGCTTCTTTTTTGGGTTTTGTTTTGTTCTTCAACACTGAACATACACTCAACAACAAAATTGCAGTGCAGTGGGCTGCAGCAGCAGAAACTGCGAGCGCATTCAAGTGTACACAGGCAGCGACAAGAGCGACGGAAACGGTTGCCGCCACCGCCGCCAAAGTTGACTTTGCAGGTAATAGTTATTGATTGCGCTCTGGATGATTGTCGTCGCCAGACAGGCGGCCACGGTGGTGGTGAGTGCAAGGTGAGCACTGCCGCCGCCGCCACTGCCACTGGTGCCGAATTCCCTGGTAGGCGAGAAGGAGAAAGAAAGAAAACAGCAAAGGTGAACAACAGTGAAACTCGGTAATCGGTAATCGGTGTTCTTCCTTTTCTATCGAAAACAACAACAACAAAATTGTGCCTACCTGGCACTGCGCTTTCCGTGCTGAATGCTCGCCGCCGGATTGGCGTTGTTGTTGATGTGCACTGCAATGTGCGCCGGCTCGGCGTTGGAGGGCGTGCAGCTGTAGTTGCCCGAGTCGTTTGGCTGGGCCTTGGCGATGGTCAGCCGCGATATGGTCTGCGTCGACTTCTCCGTGTGCACCTTGATGCCCCGTGGTGAGCCGTAGTTGATCACCTAGAGAAGATGGTTAGAAAGGAAAGTTGGTTACCACAAGAAAAGAATAAAGAGCAAAAAAATGACTGGAAAGAATATGTGCAATCAGCACTGTCCGTCTGGGAAAATACTATAATAATAAAAATCTGGGCTCCTCTTTTGCAATGATTAGGTTTTCAGTTTTTATCTTTACTGTTATGATTATTCTTTTTCTGTTCAAAGTAGAAACTGGGTACTTTTCTCGCTAATAGAAATAAAGCGATGCTAATCTATTATAACTAGGCAAATTCTAATCTAATAGCTGCTGTAGCAGCTCACCACTACACAAGCAAGCAGGCACACTTACCCTTCCGTTGAAGTACCAGAAAATGAAATCAGGAGGCTCAGGGGTGTCCCGCACTAGGCAGGTTAAATTGAGCGTGGAACCGCTGCTCAGATAAAGAGTGGGGCCTTCTAAAATTTTCGCCTTGCTCACTGCAGGAAAAAAAGTAGTAATAATTTGCGATGGCGAGTGATAAGAGGAGCAGGGAAGAAGATGAAAAAGAGAAGGGGAAAAGGAGGAAAAAAACATCATCAATAAGAGAGCCAACCAGGCAACCACAAAAAATAATCTAAAGCGAAAGCAAAAAAAGCTGCTTGTGGTCAACAGCTCACGTACCGACGACGTTGAGCTGCACAAATTGACTCATCTTGGGCATAGTCGCCACCTGCAGAGAGGAAAAGAGAAGGGGCACAAAGAAAAACGCATTTAGAATAACCGCTTGACAAAATTAGCTGTCATTTTAAAAAACAGCAAAAAAGTTGTTCCTGTTTCATTACCTGGCACTCGTAGACGCCCGCATCCGTCTTCTGCGGATAGCTGATCTCCAGCGACCAGTCATCGCTGCCCTCCATGTGCTTGCAGTTGAAGCGCAGGTCAGAGGCGTACGAGTACTTGCCAACTGAAAAGATGAAGAAGAAAAATAAAAAAGTAAATAAAAGAGTTACCAAACTCTTTTCAGCCATTACCAGTGAGAATCTGCAAATCTTTTTTGCGAATCCAGGAGAGCGTCCGCTCGCCGAGCTGCTTCACCCGACAGGGCAGGTGAACCAGGGCGCTGCCCTCGCTGATGGTCACATTGGTGTTCATTTCCTCGGTGTCAAAGTAGGGGGCGATGCGGTGGCGGTGCCCTGGTGAAACTCCTCCTCCTGCCGACAGGGATGAATAGCCGCCGACGGCCGCCGAGGAGCCTCCCGTGCTGCCGAAGAACTGCAGCCCACGCTCACGTTCCTCCGAGGAGGACATGAACTCCTCGGAGTAGGAGCGGACGATGCGATTGTTGATTAGCTCCTCCAGTGGCGATTTGGCTGCTGATGTTGATGCTGCTGTGTTTAACGGACTACTGCTGCTGCTGCTGCTGCTGCTGCTCGACGTCGGAGTCTCGGTCATGTGGGAATTGCCTGCAAGAAAGATTTTGACAAGGAAAGAAAGAAAA